ATGAAATGAAGTTTTAAGTATCTTGATCCAATAATCTAAGGAGATGTGGAAAGATTGATAATGATGATGTTGTATATCATATTGGAGCGTAGTGGGTGATCTAAATGCTCGTGTCGGGGGGATTATATGATAAGAATGTGTCACCTACATCAATGTTCAGAAGATAAATGTAACAAAGATGAGGAAACTAAAAAGGATGTGTGAGGATGGTTATACATGACAAGATATGAGTGGTTTTCGACGCAGAACAAAAACAGAGAAACAAGATTATGGTTCGAGTATATGAAAAGGAGGTGCGAGAGGTTAACTGTACTAGAGTTAGGAGAGGTAGAGATAGACTGAAAAATAACTAAGAGAGTTAATAAGACAAAACTAAGACAAGTCCAGCTTAATAAAGACATGATCCTAGATGAAAAGGAATAGAGAATAAGAATAAAAGTATAAGATTGAAAAATATAAGTGATTTCTTGCTTCCTTTTTTTTTTTTGAAATATTATTTGGTTGATAAGTAGAAACTATTATTTTTAAAATATTTATATATAATTAAAATAAATATTAGTATAAATGATGAAGATGAAAATTAGGGGTGTAGGGTGGTGGGGTATGGGAATGGGACTAAAGGGCTAGAGGTTAGGATGGAGTGTGTTGTAATGAAGTGAGAAAGAAAATAATGATGTGAAATGATAGTGAAACTTTTTTTTTGTTATAAAATTTAAAATTAAAAGAATCTCAAAAATATTTTTTTTTAACTTTTACTAGAATTTTTTTTCTTATTTTTTCAAAACAAAATATTAATTTTTTAAAAAATACTTTCTAAATCAACCAAAAACAAAAAAAAAAGCAAAACATTTTACTTCAAAATAATGTCAAAAGAAGAAAGAAAACACTTCACCTTTCTCACTCTACTTACTAATTATACTTATTTTAGTAGCCAATGATAAAGTAGACTTGACCAAAAAAAACTTAAATTGGCCTCACTTGCAACTTAATTATGTCCCCACTTTTTAAATAATAGCCAATTATATGCCTAGAAATTAGCATGCCATAAATTGTGGCTATCTTATTGGTTATTTTGATTCGAATTGATAAAGACAAACTTCATATTTCTCAACTACTTCTAATAAATTCAAAATTAAAGTTAGTTCAATTCCTTACAAAAGTGTAATATCTTAAAATCAATAGATAAGTAAAAAGTATTCAAAAGAAAACATTTTTTTTATTATCTAAAATCACAAGGTACGTCAAAACTCCGAAGCTTAATATCTAAAAAAAAAATTTAGGAATTTTTAGCTAAAATCATTCTTCAATTATGACTCAGATCTAATGTACATTCTTATATTATTTCAGTGAATAAAAAAAATTCTTATACTATTTAAAAAATAACAAAAAAACATCCTTCATGCGTCTATTTTTGTTAAGTAAACTAATTTAACAAATAATATATATATATAT